GATGAGGGTGGCAGCTTTCTAATTGCTTCCTCGATTGTTCTCTGGTCGGTAGCGCCACTAGTTGCCGCAGCAACAACAGCCTGCCGTCTCCCTGACTCCTCCGTCAGGTGGAATCGAGTTACATGGCTTCTCATGTTTGTTGTGTTGCCAAAATATTTTATTTTAGCACGACACAGCTTACATATAACGTGGCTCTTGTCCAGTTCGCTTCCGCTGTCAACGTTGTAGAAGCCGAAGTATTTCCACACATCTGCTTTTAAATTAGAAGAAGCTGTTCAGCTCTCATGGCGAGGTGGGTGGCGGTCAGCCATGTTTGTTTTCCTCTGTGCGCGTGTTGGCGTGTCTGCTCCAGTTGCGCATCCCAAAGTGTCCCGGAGATGACACGTACCGCGCTTCTTAGTTCCGCATTATTTAGAACCTTCTGTATTACTCTAATTAACAGATTTAAATAATCGAAATTTGGACGTTTGTGAATCGATTCAGATTCGTCCACGTCCGAATCGCGATGCATCTAAGAATCGGAAATTTCCCCCACCCCTAGAACCTGGGCCATTAGTTTTACTTGTTTAATACATAATTATTCTGATCTCTTCGTAGTTAATGGCCTTTAACTATGCATCCCCATTCCATTCCCAAGTTACTATATCTGTTATTATTTGTGAATGAATCCCAAAACATGTAAATACTTTCTGCCTTTTAGATGGTACACAACAAGAAGTTCTCAACAGTGAGATTCCTAAGACAGAGTTTGTTCCAAACACACCTTCTACCACACAGATCTCAGTGACAGGTAACATATCTTATGGCATAGCATGTGATAAAGTGACTTCAGTATTACTTCTTCTTTGTTCATGGTGGCAAATTATGACCTCACTTGTTTTGGAAATGTTCGCAGGAAAAAAGAAAGTAATTGATCTGACGAACGACATTAATTGGAGATCAATGGAAAGCCTGATCTATCAGCCCTCAGGCTGTGGAGAGGAGAACATGATCCACTTGACCCTACCTGTCATTGCAATCACATATTTGGACAAAACCAACCAGTGGGAACCTGCATACATTGAGAGACGTACTGAAGCCCTCCAACACATCTGCACCGGTGGGCTCAAACGAATGCATTCCTTAGCACATATACCTGAAATTCTGTTTAAAGCCCTTGTGTGTAAGAAAAGAAGCTCACTGACTTTGGCAGAAGTGGTATTAAAAAAGACATTTGGTAGACAGCAGTATAAACCACCTAACTGCTCAAACTGGCTTCCAATGGATGAGATTCTGTGCAGAGTTGAAAAACTGTCAGTAAACGAGTTGTGTATTTATTTTATCTAGGTTACAACAATCAGATTAACAATCGTAAAAATGATGGGTCCTTTGCTGCGTTTCCTGATCACAAAAGCAGCGCATGGTGAGGCCTGGCATGCATGAACTCATACATAAATGATGGCACACCCTCCTTTAACCTAGATTTTGACTATGTGAGAAGCGATGTTTTTCATGTACAAATAAATGAAACTAAACTATCACACCTTCTTCTCTCCTTTCCTCTCTAAGGCTGACAGCTTATGTTGCCAAGGTGTTTTCCATTGCCAACAATCTGGTGGCTGTGCAAAAGGAACATATCTGTGATGCTGTTGAGTTTCTGATTCACAACGCGCAGCAACCTGGTGGCTTGTTTAGAGAAGTTGCAGTGGTGTCTCATGAAACCATGATCGTAGGTGCACTGTTATTATTAACATCAGTCTTCAACATGATTCTAAACAAAAGACCAAATCAAAAGGAAAACCATTACATGTCACCGGCTGTCATCGATGAATAAACATAATTTTAATGCTGATGATGGTAATAATATGCTTGTGTTTGTGTGTGTGCATAGGGGGATGTGCGTGGTGTAGACTCAGATGCCTCCATGACAGCCTTCTGCCTCATTGCCTTGCAGGAGTCACGCATACTATGTACAGCCACTGTTAATGTGAGTATCTCATCTGTGTACAGTTTACCAACCCTACACCCCAATGGTAACTAACTAAGGAGGTTATGGCTCGTATTGCGTGGCAGGTACAAAAAAGGACAGCTAAACCGACCCTAGGCTTCTGGGGGTCCTAAACAGAAATTGGTTTGGGGCTAGGGTTGGGTCGGTTCTCGGTAATACCAATTCGGTTTGGACCGGGGTTTTTTTTTTTTTTTTTTTGAGACCGACCGGACTGCATACTCGGGCGGAATGTACGCGGAGCGGACGCCGCGGAGGTCCGCCCGGTAAAAGTGGACGTCCGCAAGCCCTGTCCGCTCCGCTTGTAATACGCCCGAGTTTGTGAGCAACTATGTCTGCCTCTTCACCAAGCGCACAGCAAGCAGGAGAGAGAGGGGGGTGGGGCGGGGACTGAGCTAGGGGGTGCGAGTGCGCATGCGCCGAGGCCTCTACTGTAGCCTGGAGTTTGGGAGTCGATAATGGCGGGCAATTTAGTCTCGACAAAATCAAAGAATGCGCCACTATGGCAGCACTTTGGCTTTGAGCCAGACGAAGGAGGCAACCCTTGTTTGCACTGATTGAGTAAGCTGCAAAATTTATTTGTAAGGAATAGAAGAAACAACTTGTTACTGTCACTCTGTTGTCCTAAAGTCGTTTTTTATTTTAAAAAATCTGGTATTACCGACTTGATGCTTTTTTTTTACAAAAAACAGAACTTTTTTTTTTTTTTCTCATACCGACCCAACCCTATTTGGGGCCATCATAATTGTAACATGTTGCCACTTTACGTAGCACTGAATCAACTTGTGTAATAGTTTAAGTGCACATAATATACAAATAAGCATATAAAGACTAAGTGGGACCTATTAGCAGCAACACTATCTTTAAATAGACCACAGTAAATATATCATTTGTCCATTGCCCCCTAACCCCATGACTGGTCCTTCCCAGGGCATTTTGATTGATCTGGTGAAAGCTTGATTCATATTTTAGTGTTGTGTTTTCAGTGGAAAGGGCTGAATCTCATCCGTCCTCATGGTAAAATGTTGGAATGTAGTAAGGATATGACATGACTAAGTGTCTACATACAGATATTTTTACAAACATATTTGACTCAACATCTTGGCATAACTCTCATTCACACACAAACAGAGTTTTGGGTCTCTAAAACAGAGATTTTTTAAAACACCTTCTAAGGTGCAGTTTTTTCAAAACTCTGGTTAACAGAGCATTTGGGACACGTTGATGTCATCTCCTGAGTTTATGCATGTCCATAGTTGCTTTGTAATGAGGATGCACTAGAAACAATAACTACAATGGTGGACCACTGGTTTGCTCTAACGTCTGGCACCCCATTGACTTTACCACATCGCAGCAAATGATCCTAATGAGGTACTGAACACCTGAGCAATGAGCAGGCAAATGGCTGCTGGTCTGACCATTACCTCATCCACTCCGTCATGTCCTCAGTAAGGAACTGCCCAAGTAGTGTCCTGAAGACACTCCCCCAATCCCAAATGGTGTCCCAATTCTTCGTCAGGTTAGCTCTTAACCTGATGGAAAATTGGGACACCACTTTCCCTCACGTGAATGTGCAAAACTAATGGGAAGGGCCAAGACAAGGGCTAAGGGGAAGAAATGGAATTGGTCCTCTGTAAGGGCTTGAGTCAACGAGTCTATAAGGGATCCATTTGGAATTGGGGGACTGAGACACACTGCAGTATGCTTAAGTTTGTCATTTTCATGGCTTAAGAAGCATCTTGGACACAAAGCCAAAATCAAACCCAAACCAACCAACCAACCAAAACCTCATCAACGCTGGCAGCCTTTGTCACATGGCAGAAATACATAAATTGCACACATAAAAGAGCGCTCAATGCAAAAGCAGTCGCTCAAAGGGCAGGTTAGGGAACTGAAGAACCAGTGGAGGACAAAGAAAGTCCTAGAGATCCAACAGCCAGCAGACTGCAAGGGCACTAACCAACTCCAAGAAAAGTATCAAAGACCAAAACCAACCACCCTACATGGCCCTTATTTTCTGTACAGCATTGATGAGGAAAGTTATCATGGTTCCTGCAGTCCCAGCAGGGTTTTCGCATGGCTGAGAAGAAGGGTTTTTGAGAATCACAATCTCAAGGCCAAAACCAAATTTCTGGTCTTAAAGTTGATAGTGCAGCCCACTCTACTGAACAAATTCAGTAACATGGATCACGTGAGCAGACAACTGAAGGCTCTAGAAGCTCACTAGCAGAGATGCTTTAGGAGAATTCTCAACATCTATGGTGGGGTAGATGCACTAACTTCAGTGTCCCCAAGGAGGCCAGTCTACCCACCGTTGCTGCCTCTGTCACACACCAACTCATGATCCACATTCCCTACTCTCAGCTGCCAAAGCAATTTCTCTTCTCCCAGCTTAGACAGGTCACCATGCCCCAGGAGGACAAATGAAAACTATAACCTCCACCGTGTTGCAGAAGTCAAGAATGGCCTCCGAAAGAAAAAATCATAATAAAAAATGCCCAAACCACACAAAAACCTCTATCTCACACCCCCTTGATATGCGGATCTAGGATTGGCCTCTTGGACCACCTGAGGACCCACAAGGATTAAGCTTGTCAGATTCAGGAATCTCTACAATTTATATGTTCTCCCATTATTCTCCTTTTCCTTACTTTCTTTGTTTTTTCCTTCTGCTCAGGTTCTGCAAGTCAGTATAGAAAAAGCAGCAGCCTATCTGGAGAAGCGTCTGCCCAGCTTAATCAACCCATATGCTGTTGCCATAACATCATATGCCCTGGCCAATGAAAACAAACTGAACCAGGAGATCCTCTTGAAGTTTGCTTCCCCAGGTTTCTTTATGCAATATACACATAATCAGAGAAAAACTGTAGTTTAATAGCATTGTTAAAGTAAAAGTAGAACAGAAGTCAGAAGTATAGAATAGTAATGCATTTACACGTGGCTGTGATTTCCTCAGATTTGTCCCACTGGCCGACACCTAGGGGACGTGTTTACACATTAGAGGCCACAGCTTATGCTCTTCTGGCTCTGGTCAAGGCCAAGGTGAGCATGTCCTACTTATCTGTATCAATGGAACATCATGCTACAAAATGATTCAGTGGAGTTATCTTTTATGGTACCACACTACAGGGTAGAAGGTTGGTAGCTGCAAAGCCTCTGAGCTCTGACAACACTGCTGACATCATAGTTGCTTCTATATGGATAACCAAAGGCATATTTCTTGCTAGGTAGTAAAGAATAAAATCCCACTGTAGAGACTCACAACTGAGCCAAGTCTTACTCCAAAGTCATCGAAATCTGGCGCTTGGGCAGTGACTTGTGGCATCAGATACCACCAAAAAAAGGGTGTCCTTTAATGTCGGCACAATATACGGCTGGTTGCCATTATAGTTTAATGCCGCCTGGTGGCATCAGGGGGAAACGCTGTACTAGAACTAGACACAGAGTCCCAGAACGTCAACAACCAACACACCCAGGGTACCTTGCACGTCGTATGTGGACATAGAAAGTCCATGACCAAATGTCAATATGTGACGAGGTCGGAGTGAGAATGTGTTGTACCTCTTGTTTAAGTGAAGTAATCTATTACAGAGACAAGATAAACATTTTTGCTAAATGCAGACATTACAGACAAGTCCAGAAATCTAAGGTATGCTTTGGAAATATACATGGATGTATAACAATAAGCCATCAAAATGATATTTCTATTATATAACAACCTTTGTCTCCAACCCCTCTGTTAATAAAGGCCTACGAAGAAGCCATACCTATTGTGAGATGGTTCAACAAACAGCGGAGAGTGAAGGGAGGCTATGGATCAACTCAGGTAACACAGACCTCCAGCTATCGATCTATCTATCTTTTCGCACTGTTTCATTTCTTTGCTGGGATCAAACTACTTCATTTTCCTTCTCTCCCACACTCTCTAGGCTACTATACTCGTGTACCAGGCTGTAGCAGAGTACTGGGCCAGTGCTAAAGAACCAGAGTATGACCTGAATGTGGACATCTTGTTGCCGGGCAGGTCTAGGCCTATCAAGTACAACCTCAACAGGGAAAACCATTACGGCACCAGAACATCTAAAGTCAGAACACACACAAACACACAATGTTTCATTAACATCATCATCCATGAAGTTTTCGGTATGTTTCTCCTGCTTATACGTGTGTGTGTGTGTGTGTGTGTGTGTGTGTGTGTGTGTGTGTGTGTGTGTGCGTGTGTTGCACATTGAAATTCCCCCAGATCAATGAAATAAACCGGAATGTGAAAGTGACTGCCACAGGCACAGGAGAAGCAGTGCTAACGGTACATAAAAAACACTAATTTAGTTCTGAGTTTTATCATCTGTTGATTATTGATGTGTCCTTTTTAGATAAGAACAAAGACATTTAAATAACCTCGCGTGGACAGTACTATTAAGTCTGTAAGCCTATTGACATTATCACAATGCATTTAATGTCTGTGTAACAGATGGTGTCGCTGTATTACGCTCTACCGAAAGAAAAGGAGAGTGACTGTCAGAGGTTTAACTTGTCAGTGCAGCTCCTTCCAGGTAATTTGGTGCCCTCTGTCTCATTGCTCACATTAATCTATTTTGTATTGACATCTGCCTCCTTTTTTTATGAGAAAAGATTAATTTTCATCCAAATTTTTGTTCCTCCAGAGAATATGGCCGAGGATGAGAGGATATACAGGCTGAAAATAGCGGTTTTGTAAGTACATAAAAGAAATCATATAAATAAACATTAGATTTAAATGGCTATTTCTGATTTTCAATTTATTTCCATTATCGTCTTTTCGGTGTTGCTATTGTTTTTAGTAGCCCCATGTCCCTGATTTTCTCATTATCCCTTCCCAGTATAGCAACTTTTTTTTGCTTTCATTTCTCATGTTTTCAAAAAATAGAAATGTTGCAGATATCATGGTCACGTATTTTTTTGAATTTGTCTGACTCACTTTAAACTCAATTGAACATCCATAGATTCCAAACCATTTGGCAGCTGGTCTGAAGCTGTTGATTGTATCACACAATCTTGCACAGCAGTTATCATGTTAAATTTCTTGTCAAGTTCTTGTCCAGATTTAAAGTATTATCTTTAGAAAAAGCAGTTAATTTTCACCAAGTACAATTTTCTCAAAAAATATTGTTTTGTCACAGTTTATAGCTATATAGCTTTATAACAGTTATGTATTGTAATATTTCATAATATTTTACTACCAATACATTCCTTATTTTATCTATTCACTCCATTTTCTGCACAGGTATAAAGACAGGGAGCGCGATGCATCCATGACAATCTTGGATATTGGCATGCTAACTGGCTTCACCCCTAACACCAATGATTTGAGCTTAGTAAGACACACACACACACACACACACACACACACACACACACACACACACACACACACAAAAGGTCCCTCTTCGTTGTTAACAAAAAAGTGATACAATGTTATGTTTGGACGCACAGTTTACATATACACTTATCAGCCAAAACATTGAAACCACTGACAGGTTAAGTAAATAACATTGATCATCCCATTACAATGTTCTAATGAAAACCTTTGGTCCTGAAATTCATGTGGTTGCCTTTTGACACTCACCACCCACCCAAACACTTTTGCAAACCAAGTACACCCCCTCATAGCAATGGCACTCCCCAATGGCAGTGGTCCCCCAGCATGACAATGTGCCATGCCATGCAGCAAAAAGGAGAAATGTCACAAAGAGCTCAAGGCATCAACTGGGCTTCCAAATTTCCCAGATCCCAATCTGAGGTACTCCTGATCTACCTTGGATTGGATTTGGCTCTGACCTGTTGAGAGATGGACACAGGACCTCTGAGGGTGTGCCGTGGTGTCTGGCGGATCCTTTGAGTCAAGTGGGTTGCGAGGTGGTGTGCCTGCACTTCCTACGGATGCTCGATCAGATTGGGATCTGGTTAATTTGAATGCCAGGTTGACGCCATGAGCTCTTTGTCATATCCTTGGACACCTCCTAAGCCGTTTTTGGCATGGTGCATTGTCCTGCTGGTGGGGGGCACTGCTATCTGAGAGTTACATTACCATAAGGGGGGTATACTTGGTCTGCATCGGTGTTTGGTTGGATGGTGCCAGTCAAGTGGCATCCACATGAATACCAGAACCCAAGATTTCTCAGCAGAGCATTGCATTATGACGAGATGATCAATGTTAGTCACTTCATCTGTCAGTGGTTTTAATGTTTTGGCTGATCGGTATACACATATATATATGTGTGTGTGTGTGTGTGTGTTTGTAGTTAGCCAAAGGACGTGCCCGCACTATTGCAAAGTATTCGGTAAACCCCGCCCAGGCAGAAAGAAGCTCACTCATAATCTACCTGGACAAGGTAAGACATGACTGTTTCCTGCCTCTATACTATTTCTGTCTGCCTTGTTCTTTTTTTTTATCTCTACCTCACATTTGTCCTCAGGTTTCTCACACAAGACCAGAGGAGATCATTTTTAGGATTCATCAGAAGATGAAAGTGGGAGTCTTACAACCAGCTGCTGTGTCTGTCTATGAGTTTAACCATGAAAACAGTAACCGTGAGTCTCAAAGACACCCAGAAATATATGCTCTGCCTCTGACCCACAAACAAATGCGGACCAGGTTAAAGGATTATTATTTGCTGCCAGTAGATATCAGTGTATATAGCACAGTGGTTAAGGGTGTGTTTTCACATTCTCCAGATATACAATCCTGCTGTGAGCCCAGAATATCCTGCTAGTATTTATCTTTTTTTCTTTCCTACTGCAGAAACACATTGTGTGAAGTTCTACCATCCAGAGAGGAGAGGTGGTGAGCTACTGCGTATCTGTAGAAATGATGAATGCACATGTGCAGAAGGTAAACAAGATGATGTCTAACTAAAGACTGAGGCTGTATATGCATAATTGTACATCTCAAATCTTGACTGAATAACTCATGAATATTCTTAAATTGTGACTTAGATAGAGCTGCACTCACCCATCAACTCATACAAACACATATCTTATTTAATCAGGCCGTTAGTTGTGTATTTTATGGAAGCTGAGAACGGCCGTGCTTGCTGTTATTTCTCCAGCGACGTTATCTCGAGATCAAATTAGTTATTTCATTTTATCAAGATAAAGCTTGTTTTCTCTTATTGATAGATTCATTTGTGTCGATATTTGAGAAAATTTGTAGAAAAGACTCCCGCACACTGTCTAACTTGCAAAAATAATTTTAATGCTGCTGCAACATTTCAGAGACTAGACCTTCATCACGCAAACAGTTTTGTTACCATTTCATAGGTAAATTGAGAATAAATGCTTGAATTCTTATTGTTAACTTGCAATCTTTCAAAAAACACACATCCAAATCCTGGACTTACATAACAAAAATGAATCTATAGGGTTATGTTTAAATCAAGAATAAGTATCAATACACAAAAGAATACTTGATAATAATGCTACAAAGCCTCCACAATGTCACAGAGTAAAAATTACATCCAAATATGCCAGACAATGGTCAAACTACATTCTGCCCTACCGAGGAAACAAAAGGCTGATTTCTCTCGACAACAAGATCATTTATCATAAGAAAACGACATTTGTTTTCCCAAGATCACAGCGTGATAATAGAGAACTTAGTGTTTGACCTTGTTTGAAGCACTAGAGCCAGAGCATGAGAGACAACCAGAATTTATATTCCCCCATTTTCAGGTGTTACGGCAATAAAGTGGTAAAATGGTGTCCTCTTGTGTGCACAAGAGGTTACCACAGGCTCCATCCACATCGAGATCACAGTTACGTGTGTCACGAGTGTGCCAAATGCACTTTAGGTGCATTTTCTTTAGGCCAGACTCCCTTGGCACACCTGTGGCACACTTGGGCTCGGGGTGGGATTAGAAAGAATACATTATGATATGACAAGCGTGGCTTATCATATTCATATTCACTATTCAATGTGGAGCTCCAGCTGACATTTTGGCCAGCCTTCTTTAGAAAAAGATGACACATGCAGCCGTTAGCCCAGTACCCAGTGTTTAGGATTGAAACACCAGGTGCAACACTGGCAACAACAGAGGATCCTGTGGGAGTTTAAGTGGAGCAATAAGTTTTAAGTGATTCACAATTTTTTTTGGAGCTGTATTAACTTTTTTTAACTTGTCTGTCTCCAACATACCTGTTGATGTGTAGAAGAAACTGCGAAGAATGATTCACAAAAACAACGTTTGATGTGTACATAAGCAACCGGAGGAACAGTTATTTTACAATAGTGTGATGCTGGTTGCACAAATGGAACCAGCGGATCTGCCGTGCGTAATTGTGGCTTTACAGTGCGCAACATCAGTATTTACTTTGTGTCTACTGTTTATTTCCAGAGAACTGTGGTGTACTGAAGAAGGGCAACGTCAGCAATGTGGAGCGCACAGCTAAGAGCTGTGAGACTAAAGTGAGCAGTAATATAGATTTTGGTAAGAGTTTCTATATGTTTTTGTGCGTGACTGAGAAATTACAAGAATAAGTAAGCAATGGAGCCAGTGAGCTAACAACCTGCAATTTGTCTTTCCTCAGTGTACAAAGTGAGAGTGGAAGATTTTATAGATGGCTTGTCCACGGACATTTACACAGTGCTGGTACTGGAAGTCATCAAAGAAGGTGGGTATTTCCATTTTTGAACGTAAAGTACCTCAAAGGTGAGATACCACATTTCATTTTTAAGTGCTATATCGTAGGCAACTGGACTTGCTTGCGTTTCTTGAAGATGTTTCGCCTCTCATCCAAGAAGCGTCTTCAGTTCTAAATGACTGGTACGAAGTTGCAGGCTATTAACCCTGTGTGGGTGGGAACCTTTGCAGAGTCAGAGAAGGGACACTCCTTTGAGGACAACAATGTGCACATCTTGGCCAGGGAGGAAAGATGGTTTGAAGGAGGAGTAAAAGAAGCCATCTACGTCAAGCTGGAACGACCATCGTTAAACGGAGGGGTTGGCTTACGACACCACTTATCCCCCACCTACAATGTAGTCTTGGGATCCCTCCCCAGACGACTTCACACCCATTCACCCCAGGTCCCACCTGACCCAAACGACTCACATGGTGGCCAGGTGGGTCAACGGCTCACATTGTGACCTTCATGACTCTGAAACTAAGAGCTCACGTGACCCCTACAACTCTGCAAGGGTTCCCACCCACACAGGGTTTACAGCCTGCAACTTCGTACCAGTCATTTAGAACTGAAGAAGTTTCTTGAATGAGAGGCGAAACGTCTTCAAGAAACGCAAGCAAGTCCAGTTGCCTACGATATAGCACTTACAATTACCATGACCTGGATGACTGAGAATCTTCACCGATACATTTCAATCCCTTTCTGATTTTGACGTTCACTTCAGATCTCCCCAGAGCTGCTTCCAGCCACAATTATACTGGGAGTATGTGAGAATTCAAAAGTAATGTTTCAAAGCTGTGCTTGTTGTTAGGCATCTAATATGTTTAAAGGAAAAATGTAGTTTATTACATGTTGCTCTGATCATCACTTCTATCAGTTATGATCGTACTCACCAAAATAAAAGCTGTGATCTGAGCCCGAAATCTGCTGAACACAGGGGTATTGCTAGTTTTAAACTAGAAGAGCCCTCAGAGAGTGCAGACCTCCTCCAAGGCCATATGCCCTATACCAAAATGTTGACGATGCATACGTAATCCAAACTTCCCTGTCCTTAGTTTCGGTAGCCGGTGGGCAGCATATGCACGTTAGTCCCCCCAATTCCATGTCCCTACCATCTAGCTGATCAACTGGTGTAACATTTTTCAAACTGGTTTGATATCAAGCCAAACACTGGACCGGAACCACTACTATCTAGTCACACTTGACTCAGCAACCCCTCTTGAGTGGAACATAATGACACTCTGTCCTGACAGTCAATGAGCATCCAAATATCACGTCATATCACATAAAATCAGAGCTGTCTGTCCACACTAAATCCATTATTCACGTCTGTTTCATCATGTAAACAAGCCACACAAATATATCAGCTGTGCTCTAGAGATCAGACTGGAGACGTAACCATTAGCACCATAGCTCTGCCGCTATTTTGGCCCAGCAACCTCTATGTTTGCTTGTGATGTCCGAGATAGCCAAGTGCAGGCAATCAAGACTATCAATGTCGTATATTTCAAGTTAAAGAAAAGGGCAAAATAATTTGACGGTTTCTTCTTTGACCCATGCTACACCCCTTTAATAAGTTTCATGAAAATCAGGCCAGCACTTTTCCCTAATCCTGCAGACAATCAAACAAAGACCTCTTTGGTGGATGTAATAAACCATAGTTTTCTGTAAAGTATGTTCTCTCTGTTCTTTGTTTTAACCACAGGAAATGATGACGTAGGCCCTCTGAATAAACAGCGCACATTCCTCAGTTATCGGCACTGCAGAAAGACTTTAGGTCTGAACAAAGGCAAAACCTACCTTATCATGGGTGCATCCAAAGATATTTACACAGACCAACGGAGACAATTGTAAGTTCATTGTGTCTGCGCATGTGTGGTGTGTTTGTTCCATCTGTAATATTGTCAGCATTTAAAACATTTTACCTGTCTGTGGTGTCTGTGCTTTGTGTTGCTAAAGTACATACTCACATGCAAATCATGCTTATCTTTATCAGTTTTCGTAGTGTTGTTTGTGAGTAATTATTATTTATCTATTTATTTATTTTTTGACTTTGTACTTGCCATTATTCTTCCTGTCATTCCTTTTTCATTATCCCTGCAGTTAGAGAGAGCTGTGTACATGAAAACCCAGTGTTTCTTTCACTTTCTCTAGGTATCAGTACGTGCTGAGTGAGAGAAACTGGATCGAGTACTGGCCCACAGATGCAGAGTGTAAAACCACTGTATACAAGCCTACCTGTGCAGGCATATTGGAGATGGCCCAGAAGTACACAAGAGATGGATGTCAGCAGTAGTGATGCTGAAGGAAATAAAATGTTCTGTTCAAATTGTTTTTATTTGGCATTATTGTGTAATGCTTAAGATTAGAGTTTGAAAATGACAGTGTTAACATGTAGTACATACGGAGTATCAATAAAATACTTACAGAGAACCTATACTGGGTCAAAAGTGTACTGTAAGTAAGTGGGAAGAGGACAAAGGGTCAGTACTTTACTTTATGAGATAAATTACACCATAAGCACCTACATGTCTAAAAGTTACACTGTGCAGTACTATCAGAAACAAACAGAGTTTAAAAAAAAAAAAAAAAAAGACAAATTGCCTACTTGCCAAATTTTGGATCACCAACAAGATGATCAAAAATGTTAATAGTTAAATTGAATAAGTTGAAGGACCTTTTTACCTCACAGTCCTTACATTGGAGACATAAACAGCTTTTCTACATTTGCTGGTTAACACCTTGGTTAACTGGTGGCAGGACACAAGAGCATGTTTAAGATACAACACACAGACTTATCTGTGAGTCTTAAACAGGAATCAGGAAACAGCTCCGACTCTGAGAAGTCCCTGAGTTGTTTGGCTCCTAACATGAAGGTTGCAGTCCTATCAACACAACAATGGTAGTAGGTTTGAAACGCCAGCAGTGTCGCTCTTTAGACTGATTTCATGTCGCTGCCATGTTGGATTTTAAAAAAATCAAGAGGTGGGAGGTTTGCCCCGCCCACTGTTTACTGCATTGAAAATAGTAGTGTTTTGAGAGGGAGGCAGTTATGTCTTACTGCTGTGTACCCCAGTGCAACTCGTACCAACGGCGAGAAAGCGATAAAAACCTATCTTTCCACCGATTTCCCAAACATTGTAAGGGGGCTCATTTTTCCTCATTGAGCGAAATGCCTTCGCTCTCACAGCACTCCCTGCCTCTCTCCACCTGACTGTAAAATCATACGACACCAAACGTTAGCATGAGATATCAATTAAGACAGTAGAGTACACAAGGCACATAGTAACTTGTTAGTTAACGTTAGCTACAGCAAAGCGGCTAACGTTAATGCAAGCTTGAACAAATTACAATGCATTTTAAGCTTAACGTGATGTGTGTACTGTGCGGTCCTACTGATGAATAACAAACTTTAGGAAACTAATGGAGAGTGAAAAAGGTGACAGATACCGGGGCAGACTTAGAAACTACTCAGAAATCATAAGTGCTGTGTTTCGGGATTGAAAGGTGACTGTCACATTGGCTACTCTAAAAACAGACTAGTTAGCCATGAGTTTTAGCTAGCCTGATAATGTTATCACCGACACAACCTGACACAACCCACACAAACGTTACCTACCTTCAATGTCAGTGATGTAGCCCTCAATCCAATTGCTGTAGCCTTTAAGCAAGACAGCTCTAGGTATTCTGGATCCCTCTGCAGCCCATTTTTTAACATCATCGAAAAGGGTGGAATTATCTCCAAATTTGTACTCCACACCATCTTTATACACCTCCTGCAGTAGTATTTACAATGCAGTAAACAGTGGACGGGGCTATCTTCCCACTTCTAGGTTTTTTTTTAAATCCAGCATGGCGGTGGTGTAAAATGAGGTGTAGTGTCTAGAGGATGGATCCAACTGACTCAAGCCATCCTCTGACTTCTCCTCTAGTGCCACCATGAGGTCAAATATGCCACTGCAGTTAAATATCTTTACTTATATCTGCAAGACCAGGTGACAAAAAAATTTGGTGCACACATTTATCGTTCCCATCAAGAGGATCACATTTGTGGCTCCTGGTGGATGATATCTCAGCCGCTGCATTCAAGTCTTTCCAAAGTCCCAAATCATTAACTTTGAGCAGGTGTTCCTGTGATCTTAAAGGAAACTTAAACATAAAGACAGCCACAAGAAAGACATGCTAAGGTTTATGAGAAAATTAATTCAGTTTGTTGCTTGGAATAAGAAGAGTTCTGAATAAGTCTTATATTACTCAAAACATCTGTAATAGATAATAATATAAAATAAAACTAGGACTAAAGTGTTTGTCCGATTTGACAACATTACATTCAAGTCACAAAAGCACTCACTTTCTATTTCCTAAAAATATGAAACTTGATGAGCTTTAAAAACTGGGGGTATTTTCAATGAAAAAACATGCCTTTGTTCTTTTTGTACAGCACAAGGAAAATATGTACCCAAAGACTATATGTCTATTTACATAGTTCACACTGTAGCCAAAATAAACACAATTTCTGGCAGCCATCTTTATTTGGATTGTGGGAGGAAACTTAGCTGCAGAGGCAGGGTGCCTTTTTTCCATTATGCAGCAAATAGAATATTTTTGTATCCAGATTTTTAGGAGAATGCTTGAAGATACTGGAAATGTTTCAGAAATCATTTGGTAGGCTATACACCCACTGGCCGCTTTAATAGGCACACCTTGTTAGTACCAGGTTGGACCCCCCTTTGCCGTGAGATCTGCCTTTATTCTTCATGGCATAGTTTCAACAAGGTGCTTGAAACATTCCTCAGAGATTTTGGTCCATATTGACATGATAGTATCACACAGCTGCTGTAGATTTGTCGGCTGCACATCTATGATACGAATCTCCCGTTCCACCACATCCCAAAGTTGCTCTGGATTGAGATCTGGTGACTGTGGAGGCCACTGGAGTACAGTGAACTCATTGTCATGTTCAAGAAGTCAGTTTGAGATGATCTGAGCTTTGTGACATGATGCGTTATACTGGTGGAAGTAGCCATCAGCAGATGGGTACACTGTGGTCATAAAGGGATGGACATGGTCGGTAACAATATTCAGGTAGGCTGTGGTGTTTAAACAGTTGGTACTAAGGGGCCCAAAGTGTGCCAAGAAAATATCCCCCACACCATTACACCACCACCAGCAGCCTGAACCATTGATACAAGGCAGGATGGATCCATGCTTTCATGTTGTTTACACCAAATTCTGACCCTACCATCTGAATGTGGCAGCAGAAATCCAGACTCATCAGACCAGGCAATGTTTTTCCAATCTTCTATTGTCCAGTTTTCGTGAGCCTGTGTGAACTGTAGCCTCAGTTTCCTGTTCTTAGCTGACAAGAGTGACGCCTGGTGTGGTCTTCTTCTGTGGCTGTAGCCCATCTGCTTCAAGATTCAACGTGTTGTTCGTTATACCTTGGCTGTAATGCGTAATTATTTGAATTACTGTTGCCTTTCTATCATCTTAAACCAGTTTGGCCATTCTCCTCTGACCTCTGGCATCAACAAAGCATTTTCACCCAGAGAACTGCTCGCTGGATATTTTCTCTTTTTCCAACAATCCTCTGTAAACCCTAAAGATGGTTGTGTGTGAAAATCCCAGTAGATCAGCAGTTCCTGAAATACTCAGATCAGCCCGTCTGGCACCAACAACCATGCCACGTTCAAAGTCACTTAAATCACCTCTCTTCCCCATTCTGATGCTCAGTATGAACTTCAGCAGGTCGTCTTGACCATGTCAACATGCCTAAATGCATTGAGTTGCTGCCACGTGATTGGCTTATCAGCTATTTGCATTACGGAGGAGTTGAACAGGTGTACCTAATAAAGTGGCCGGTGGGTGTATATTTGAGATGATTACTGTTGTGACGGTTTCTCCTTAAACATTACTGGACACGAGTTTTTTAACTATCTTCATTATTCTGGCCTTTAGTTTTTCCATTTTGTCATGTTGTTTAGCAAATGAACATTAGAGGGCACTAGCCAAGATGCAGCATGTTGTCGGCCAGAAATAAAGACAGCGAAGAAGAAGACAGTGACGTACTTCCGTAGCCCAGACGCTGTTCTCGTTCTTGAAGAAAAGACTCCAACTTTAATTGACAGTCTCGGAGACAGGCTACATCAAACCCTGTGAGCCAGCCCGGGAACACAGCGACAGCGAAGTGGCGACTTACTCTTTAAACTTTGTTCACGTATTAAAAAAAGCTGGTTAGTTTCCAGGTCGAGGTACTACAGACGACGTCGCTATGGCCAAGGTACAAGTGTTAAACGTCGCTGTGCTGGACAACCCGAGCCCATTTGGAAATCCTTTTCAGTTTGAAATCACGTTTGAATGCATGGAAGATTTACCAGAAGGTAGGTATTGTTTTCTGGTACTGTGTTTCTTGTCCTTTGTGATATGTTAGCTGTGGAGTACTAGCTGCCCTTCTGGGCGCATTCCGTATCAGTGCTAACATTAACTCACTCGTTACAGGTAGATGGGGCGCGTCCTAAGTAACTGATAAACCCGCCATATTGTTCGACCATATATAAATATTAGCTATCGTTGAGGCTGCTCAGTGATAGTTGTTGGAAATTGGCGCTGGCGCGTTTGTGCTCTGCGCCCCGCCTCCTGCCTGCAGTGATTGGTTCATGGACGTTCGTCGGAGGTTTTTCTAAGAAGCTGATTGGTTGATCACATTGTGTTTCTGTAGCAACAGACAAGCTGAACGATTTGCCGCGAACCGCGGGCAGTTAGAAACAACAGGAAAGGGGTAGTAAATGTTCTGGGGATGCATACAGTCAGTTAATCCATGGTGACACTAACTGTTTAGTTACCATGGAAATATAAAGTGCCATCACAAAGTGTTACAAGATGGAGGGATTGATTGGAGGGCAGTTATGTGAAGCAGTATCAGTCTGTTATTATGTTTGACTGTTGATATGTGGACATTGTGGAACTGTTTTTTCTATGCTTATCTACATTTTGAGGTTATGTCACTTGACATCACAGACTCTGAACATGTCAGTTTGCTTTGCACCCAGCTAGTATAGGTTGGAAAATGTAGGATATTAATATCAGCTTTAAAAATACTGGAGTTAATCTGTACAAGTACTGCAAACAAAGGGCACTGAACTTTTCAAATATGTTAGCACCCCAAATGAAATTCTGTTCATCTCATTTCTGTTGTGGTCGGTGTAAAAGCTTAAAAAAAGTCAGACATAAATATACAGAATGTATTGGGGTGACTGTGTTTAACAAATTTAACTTATTATTTTAGCCATAATCTGTACCATAGCCTCATATGAACTGTACTGTAGTCCCAAT